TTCCAGTGCAAGCCTGACTTGAGTATTGAGTAGAGTTCTAGAATACGACCCTAGGAATATCGCCAAAAAAAATATTCCTGCGTTTATTAAAATTTTATTTTTTTTATTACAAAACATGAAAAAAAAACACCTATTAAAAAAATTGTTCTTGTTAATCTCGGTGAACCAACCGGTTAGTAAAGGATGATAGATGATAAAGCCCCGATTTCGATTTACTCGTAAGCATAGTACAGGGCATTGCCTAATTTGAGACAAAGTAATTTGAGTATTTGTCTGGCACATTATTACATCCTATAAAAATAAACCAAGTTAACGAATTTTCCAACGGACGGGACAAACAGAACTCCTTAATTAATATCAGCAGTCCTATACAAATAACAGCAAATTAGTTTGACTCGCAGTTCAAAGGGAGATCTTCATTACAGAAATGCAATTTCTTCGGGAATTTTTAACGATTGCCTTGTTTCTTTGAAGTTCCTTTGGTTGTCATGTAACATCGTCTATCTTTTATACTATGAAAATTTCTGATGCCATTTACCCTTGAATGAAGCATTCAAATTTGGTTACAGGAACTTGTACCGACGACTCGACTGTGGTAACACAGACCCGTCCGCAGCGGTGCATGTACCAATGTATTAAATATCGGGGTATGTGCGTGACGATGGGTTATTATTTTGTAATTCATTAATTATTAATATGAAAAGGGTAGGGGCCGATATGTGGTTATCCGTGATTTTCGGCTGTGCCAGGAAATCTCTAAAATCACGCATCATGTGAGACCGCTATATAAATACAATTTATACTGTTGTTTTAAAATTTGCAGCAGCTAAACCTAGTGAAGAATTATTATAACAAACTAGCGGAGTAATTTCACAAAAAAATATTGAATATCAATTCAATAAAAAAAAGTTAATAGCGAAGTCTCTTGCCAGGGCTTGGAAGCTGTAGAGGTTAGATACCTCTATACTGGGTGACGAAATACTTTCATAGATTTCTCATAGATGGCGCTACGGCTAAAAAGTCGTTGAAAACCAAATACAAAGATGTAGCAACAAGCACATAGAAAAATTCGTGACGTCCTGGTTTGTTCCGTGGCTTAGTTGGCATAGCGTCTGGCACAGTTCGCTAGAAGACGTTGATTCGAATCCGGCCGGACCGAAGGAATTTTTTCTAAGTGTTAGATCTTTGTATTAATAATTAAATAAATTATTTCTGCACATAAAATATTGCAATGTAAACATAGAAGAGTAATGTTAGAATTACTAAGCAGCAGTAAGGGTGCTAGTGAAATTACAGCCACATTGTATTTGTCAACTTATGTCTCACGGTGATGGGTGCAGTGGCAGTGCCCCTAAGATCTGTGTGACACTGCAATCGTTATAGAGTGGTGTGTCGCGTTCCACCAGGCGCACGAGTTTTTGTTCCGTCATTTGGGATCATATAAAAAAAAATAGTCTAGATCAATTTAGAAAAGAAAATTAGGAGCTTTTTTATACATGACAGGCAGATGACTCCATTCTACCTGATATAAAATAGCATCCAAACGTGAAGGAACCTAGTGCAGTGTTAATATAATCACTGCGCTAGCTACCTCCACCCTACACGTCTACAAGACGCTTCTTCACGCCTCGTTTGAAGGACCCCATATCGTAAGACCCCATATCGATAGAAGATAGGTGCAACGAAAGGATATCTTTTAGTAATAGATCACCCATTATGTATCCGTCGCATTGCTAAACACACAATGTCCGACAGTTGTGAGTTTGCTTCAAAATACAACTTTCATCACCATGTTTTCCTCCACCGTTAGCGAGAGAAATGGCTACTAAACATCCATAATTAGATACACCTAACTTTGTTACGTAACTGTGGAGACTATAGTTCAATGGTAAGCAGTTTAGGTAACAGAAATGAATTTTTTTTTATTATGATACCAAGGGATATAATAATAAGTCGATATAATATAGATAGATATAAAGAATAAGTCGTGCGCCTGGTGTTAAGCGCACGCCTGCCCATAGCAGTTACAGTGCCACTCAGAGCTTTAAATCGCAAAGATCTCAGGGAAATTGCCACTGCGCCTAACACCCTGAGAGATAAGTTGACAAGTCCTGTAATTTGTGTGTGTGTAAATGTGCCTGTAATTTTCCCAGCACCGTTACCTAATAAAAAGGTGGCAGTAGGTAATTGCCTGGACGAACTCTGTCACAAAGAGAACAATTAACTGAAAACCAAATAGTGAGTTACACTCATATTTATTTATAGCTAGATTTCCTCAAAACGACATAGATTAAATAGATAGCACCGTACGTCTAAACTCCGTAAAAACAGTTATTGAAATCTGTTTAAACAACAAAAACTGAACAAAGGCTCACAATTTAAATTTAAAAAAAGAACACTTTTATAACAAACGTTACGTAAGGTTAGTATAAAACAAAGCAATGAAAGAAAAATACCCAAACTCGGAATTACCTTGTAAATGGGTCTTCTGCACTAGATAGTTATATAGCGATACTTTGGACGAATACTAAAAACTTTCAATAGTTATTTCCCTATTCACTAAGAATTTGTATTTGTATCAGAATACCAGGTACTCATAAGTATTTAAGAACTTACTAGCTTGGGTCTTGAAAGGTTACACAAGCCTACAAGAAGTGAACATAAAGTCGCGTCTTTAGACTGAAAATGTAACAAATGCGACGGTCACAAATATAGTGGAACGCAGAAGCTCTGTTGGGTAATCTGTTTTAAGGGCACCATTTATACTCGTGTAGGTTGTATTTAGGTCGTTGGAAGGTTGAAATACATACGAAAACAAGGTTGCTTATTATCATTGTTACACCATGCGATGTGTGTATATTACATTTATATTCATTAGGAAAGGTAAAGGACGTTACTTATGTCCAGATTTTGGATTATATACATTTTGACGATCTCCGTGGTCAAGTGGCTTGCATACAAATTTTTCGACCCAATAGGACTTGATCCCTTGACCATGCTGATTGTAGTATTGGTTTTACCAACTGAGCCGTACGTCAAGTTATCGAGTTGTCGAAATTCTCCAATGTCTTTTTGTTAAAAATCTTTATATTGGCGTTTTCGGCATTCTGCACCGCTAGGGACATTTAGTAAGAGATTTTAGAACCTTCTTCACCGCAGTCAGCTTCTTTACCGGTAAAGGTACCTTAACTGACGTAAATTTCGCTTTTTGGTCAAATTTTTACTGAAAATTTTTGTGAAATAACTCCATTAGGTTTTAATGAAAAGTGTTCGATCTTTGTATTAACAATCATAAATTTTCCCTGATCTCGGGTGGATGCTTATAATAACGTCGTTGTTTTCGATTTCCATAACACAAGCTCTTTAGTTACTTACCTTTGAGTGATATTGTGTAATATTTATTATTATGTACGAACATTGCTTTATAATGCTAAAAATCACACAATGGTAAAGGATATTAAGTCCTGTTGTCGTTTGTTTTTTATTTAACACATTTTATTGAACCTTAACATTGATTTTTAAGATCATTGAATGTCACGATATTTGACCACCATGGTATTCAATTATTTTTGTGAAAATACTCCACAAATTATTCATAATTATTAAATAATTTGTAATAATTATTCATACAAAGATCGAACACTAAGAAAAAACTCCGTCGATCCAACTGGATTCGAACCAACGTCTTTAAGCAAATCATGCCAGACGCTATGCAAAGTAAGCCATGGAACGAACTAACGTACCTTACGAAATTATTCTATCTGAGAAATCTATGTAACTTTCACAGCTCCCTGCAGCTGACTAAAGATGTCGCTATAATAATTGTAATTTTCAAGTTTATTGAACGTCACGACGTTTGACCACCATGATATTTGAGATTTGAGATTGATTTTAAGCGCTTAATTCAGATCTTTTATCCTCTTTAAAACGCTCTGTAGTAAAAATTACTATTTGACACTTACAGATATTACCTTCTTTACAGCATGCACACAGGGGAGTTATATGAATGCCTAAGTTGTCAATTAAAACATTTTATTTTACAGGTGTGGTAGCCTAATGGTTCGCCTTACCGCCTCTCAAGGAAGAGGGTCGTGGGTTCGAATCTGGGGTTGCACCTCCGAGTGTTTCGGAATTTATGTGCGAAGTTTAACTTCAAATTTACTATGAGCTTTTCGGTGAAGGAGAACGTAATGATGAAACGTATGCACATCTGCAATGCAGATTACTAATGTATGTGCTAAATCCGCATTGGAACTATGTGTAGGCTAAGTATTAGGTATAAAACATTATATTAATCTATTTTAAGCAAAGATTCCGTCTAAGATGAATCGTCATCATTCGTATCACTTTTTCACTGTAGTCGAGTATCTACGAAAATACTATCTACTCAAATGATCCCAAGCACATTGCGTTCCAGTATTCTCTAGATCAGGGCTCTTAACTTTTTCTAGCCATGAACCCCTCTCAAAATTTCATAGAGCCTACGGACCTTTTCCGAGAAGATGAGAAAGAACTTCTTGCGGTTCACGAATAAACCTACGCAGGTTTTTGTTGTACTGCCAGGCTTAGATTAATAAGTATTTTTTAGTAAAATTTTTAATTATAAATAAAATAAGAGAGGTTCGCGGATTGTATTGACGCGCATCTCCCTCCCTCAATAATGGATAGCTGTCAAAGGGCGCGAAAGTTCAAAAAGGTCACGTTCTCTACACCTATTTACTCACAACATATTTTATACCAATTTTTATATTAATGCAACGTGTTAGGTTCGCTCGTAATGCACCTCCGGCGTTCATTTAGGGTCCATGGACCACAGGTTAAGAAACTCTGCTCTAGACAACTGCAGAATCCTTTTAAAAGTGAAATTGAATTCACAAAAAGTCCCCAACGAGTTGCCTTCAATAAGCATACAAAGCCTTTGCCTATGTTAGTAAAACAAAACATTTATATTTATTTAACAATTTGATATTCGTACTTCAACTTTATCTCTATCTTTACAGGTAAATCCAGAAGAGAATAGACTTCCAGTTGTGTCACAGTCTTCACCACGTAAGTTCTGCACATATTGTTCGCCAGTTCTTGTACCTGAGTCCCTGACCCCGGCCGACTGTGCCATTGCCGGGACATACCGCCTCTCCCATTTAAAAATTCAAAATTAATCTTTTAGGCCTTGGGAGAGGCGAGAGTCTAAAATAAATAAATATAATAATAATAATAATAATAATAGTAATAAATTGTTTATTGACTAACTTATTGGACACAGGAATAACTAAAGACTAATTATGCGTATCAACGTAAAATATAACACGTATACCTGAACTAGGAGAATCCTGTATTTCAGGTAAAAAGTACTAATTATATAGGTGGATATATGATAAAATTATAAACAAAAAAATAATAGCTAAACAATATAATGGAAATCATATACCTATACGCTTAAATTAGACAACATTTATTTTGGGATAATTAATAAATTCTCTGTATGATCGTAGGACATGTTTTGAAGGAATTCTTGTACAATTTTCTTAACCTTTATGTAACAAAAATGATATATGGCCAATTTGGCGTTTAATTTATAGTAATAAACACATGTTTTGATGATACAATTTTGGGGCAGACAATATTTTTCTGTCTTTTGATAAACTTGCCTGATTATTTTAAAATCACCTAACGCGCGTAGTTTTTTAAAGACATACATTAGCTTACGGATTCGACCGCTTAGTGCTTCGATACGGTGCTTAAAAGAGAGGTTATCATATATTATAACACCTAAATTCTTTCCTTGTTAGTAATAGCAATGTCTATGTATCTGGATTGATCTGGTCATGTCCGATTTTTTTACAAGATTGTGATCTGTCATAATTTTATTCCAAGCTAACAATATTCAGATAAATCAACAAAATATGCGTTAAAGTCATAAAGTGTTAATTTTCAACGGCTGCATTTGAACCAGCGCCTTCAGTGTACCACACCGACGCTCTCTTAGTTGGGAGAGCGTCGACCTGGTGCGCTGAAGAAGCTGGGTCGAATCCAGCAAGATCGAATTAATTTTTCTCTGTGTTCGATCTTTATATTAATAATTATAACAAACTAGTGGAGTAATTTCACAAAAAATGTACTTAATATTATATTATGAAAGTTGAGTTTTGGCCACAAAGGTTCTGATAGTAAAAGAGGCTTAAGGCCCTTCCATATTTTTTTTCTTCCGTGATATCTATTCCACTTGCCAAAGCGGAACGAAGAAGGGCTGTACATCAGAAGCCAATAGTAATTCGTCATTTCCACGCCGCACAGGCAAAATACCGAAGCAGGATTGATTGATTGGTTTCTGTAACACAACCCTTCTCCAATCCATTTTGGTAGATAATTAGTCTGAAATATATTATATATATTTATGTTATTTGTTATACAATGCTCTGCTTTATTAAGCTTTGT